GGGGGGGTGACAAATATAGAAAGAGAGCGTGACTGCTTTGTGTATATTCGATTGAAAGAGAAGCCGCATCAGTTACGAAAAGATGTACTTCGAAGATTAGAGACACACACGGGCCACACACAAGAAAACCAGAGAGGTACCTAAATTTTTGTAAGAGTGAGAAAGAGAAAATGGTTTAAGTAATGTTGGGCTCAGATTTAAGACTTTCAGAACAATCACACCCTTTACTTAGTGTGTCCACTTTCAGCTGACAGTTGTTCTCATTTGAAAGAGACATTTAATTTTGCTTTTTTCTGCAATGTTTATATCGGTTACGTAGATCATAGTTAGACATTTGAACAAGAAGAAGAAAAAAAAGCTTTAAAATGTACCTTTCCATGTCAGTTCTTTGATCACCTGTGATAACATTGACATAGACTCTGTCGCTGTAGTATAGAATGTTTTGTGTGGTTTCAAAATCACTTGTGCTCAAAACGCAAACCAGCTTGAGTTCGAAGACTTTGCATTTCAGCTTTTTATATGGGGCTTCCGTAAGCTGTAAGCAACAGCATCGAAAGGGAAAGGGGGGGGGGGGAGTTAAATTGAAGCGAAAGGGCAGTTAAGAAAAACAAAACCTACAGGAATGAAATATGCCTTGGGGGTATTTTTGGGGGATGTGACTAAAAGACCATTGTTAGATTTGATGTGGATTTTCGCTTGGAATAAATCGTTAGTGCTTTCCCCGAGGCAATGCTTTTAACAACACGGCTTCCCCTGGGAGCCCGAATGGAAATGTGTTTGTGAATTGGACGATATTCTAGACCGTTTTGATCAAATCAAGGCTTTGCTCGTTCTCGTTCGATTGTTTGTGCTTTCACCGAGAGTGGTTTTCACTTGTTTGCTAGTGCTATGTTTGTACGACAGTATCGTTGTGTCCAAGTGCATTATTAACCCCCCCCCAAAAAAAAAGCGCTTGCTTTCCTACAGACCTGCTATACGCCTTTGCACATAAACAAGAATACTTAACAAAGAT